CCAACTGAAAAACCAGTAGGCCAGGGATGGGGAACCTTTTATGGCTCACTCAGGAATTCTGGAAGTTGAAGTACGTAAATGATAAAAGAGCCAAGTTTCCCTACCCCTGCCCTATAGCATTGTTTTGAGGGTAAAAGTTGAAACAATCTATGTCCAGGATGTGAGGGGTCTGTAAATATTTTCACAGCCCTCTTTTTGATTCATGTAGTATACAGGTCCTCGATGGAAGGCAGGTTGGTAATAACTGTTTTTTCTGCATTTCTAATTATCCTCTGAAGTCTGTATCTGTCTTGTTGGGATGCAGAACCAAATCAGACAGTTATAGAGCTGCAGATGACAGACTCAATAATTCCTCTGTAGAATTGTATAAGCAGCTCCTTGGGCAGTTTGAGCTTTCTGAGTTGGCGCAGACAGAACATTCTTTGCTGTGCTTTTTTGATGATGTTTTTGATGTTAGATGTCTATTTTAGGTCTTGAGATATGATAAAACCTAGAAATCTGCAGGTCTCTACTGTTGATGCTGTGATGTCTAGTATTGTAAGAGGTGGTAGTATGGGAGGGTTTCTCCTAGTCTACCACCATTTCTACGGTTTTGAGTGTGGAAGACTCAAAGGAAGACTGGTTCTTGAATGGCTATTGTGACTTTGAACAACCAAATAATGAAGAGCTATGCTTTATATAAACATGTGTATTAATATTAGGATCAGCCAAGGTGACCTGATTAGAAGTTAGAATAGAGATAGAAATAAGAAATGGGGGAATATTAGCAGATATAATTTTTGTATAATAAATTTAAGTAATAATTTGATGGAAAAGAGTGCTTATACCACTGGAATTAAAATGGAATATTGAAATATTGAATAACTACTTTAAAAAACTATGTATTTTAATACTAGGATTATATAAGTTTGATTAATATAACAACCATTATGATTATCATTACTGATGTTTGTATCAAAATGAATTATATCCAGGGGCTACACTGTTCATGCATTGATATTGATGTATACTTAAAAATAAAAATCTAATAAAACTTGAGGAGGAGGAAAAGGGGTAGAGGAGGAGGAGGAGGAGGAGGAGGAGGAGAAAGGCACGAAATCAGTAGTGGGCAAAATTAGACTTTGGAAAATACCCAGCACCTAGATAGGTATTTTCTTGCAAAAGTATATTAACATTCTTTGTCTTAAACTATCAAGCTAAAGCTTTAATATCTTTGATACTCACCAATGAGAACGAGCCGAGAGTTGGGAAGGGAAGGCCACTCAAATACTGTATAGAGAACATCTTGTCCTTTGCTATCCAACTGATCCATCTCATCTAATACAACCAAACTGCAAGGATGAAAAACATCAAGACTGAATACTATCTTCCCAGAGAAAAGAATATGCAAATATAACACATAAGCAGAGGATAAAACATTCAAAATTTTTAAAGAAAATGTACTTTAGCTGCAGGCAGTACCTTCAATGAGTTGACTGGAATGATATAATACTTACAAGGTTCCCAACATCCCAAAGATTGAATAAAATACTTTAAAAAAAAAAAAGAGCATACAGTTTAGTATGCCAGCCCATGGATTCATAAATATTCTAGGGAAAATCCACTAGATCAGGGGCGTCAAAATCAAGGCTCGTGGGCCAGATTTAGCCTGTGGGGTGTTTAAATCTGGCCCACAGGGCCAACCTGGAAAATATCAATGGACAAGTTTGCGGTGCCTCTCCCAGCCAAAAGCAGCCTGTTTTTGGCCACCCCAGCCTCCATCAGCACTATGACAGCTGAAAACGGGCTATGCGGAGACCCCCAGGTGGCCCATTTTCAGCTTCCCCAGCTTCCATCAGCAGTCTGCCAGCCAAAAACAGGCTGCGCAGAGCCTCCACAGGCCTGTTACAGACCGAAATGGAGCCTCTGTGGGTCACTCCATTTCCCGTGGCTTTACTGTACTTACTTTTCAAAGAGCTCCAGAAACGGCTGACCCACATGGCAGAGAAGCCAACATCTTTTATTTAGATGGGGAAAACTGTAAGAACATGAGATGTAAGGAAAACAGCTTTCTCCATCCGAATAAAAGATCGGCCTCTCTGCCATGAGGGCCTGCAGGCTTAGTTTGGGTCCAGTCTGGCCGGCGATGAGCAGCCTCCTGCTTGCTGCTGGCTAGTTCGAAGGAGCAGCTTCAGGGATTGGGGAATAGCAGCCAATTAACGAGGGGCTTGCAGTTCAGGTCCTATGAGACAAAGGAAGCAAGCTCCTTGTTGATTGGATGCTGCCGCCGCCGCCACCTCAATCCCCGCAGCAGGAGACTGCTGTGGCCCAGTCCAGGCCTTTTCTACTACCAGTAGACATGGCCCCCAAGCTGAAGTCTTTTACTCAGAAGCTGGTGAAAATGTTTAGATTTCACATTCTTATAGCTTCTTCAAAAAGTAAGTGATCCATGGGGTGGAGAGGAGTAAGTGGAATCCCGGACTCTAGCAAAGCAGGCCCAGTCTGTGGAGATCTGGCAGGCCAGGGGAGGGGGAGCAATTGTGGGGACCTAAAGGGAGCATGAGGTATCTCAGTGGATTGGGGGAGGGTTTGGATGGCCTGCTGCAGCACTAGCCCTGCATGCTCTTCCCCACTCTGAGATATCTCATGTGCATTTAATTACCACATTAGATTAACAAATGCGTTGAGGAAAGCGAGGAGTATTCACGTTCATTTAATGTGATTCAATCAAACGAATCCTCAGGTTACGAATGTAATTGGCAGACTCTATTACATTCGTAACTCAAGGATTACCTGTATAATGAGAGTGAAGGAAGGTCTCAGGGAAGTCCTGCCTTAGCACTTGGCCACCACAGGTGCCCCCCCCCACAAGCCCTATGCTACGCCCACCATGACCACACCCCCAGGCATGTCCCGCCTGTCCCTCCAATGTCAAACACAACACTGATGTGACCCTCAATGAAATTGAGTTTGACACCCCTGCACTAGATCATAAAATATTGCTGCTTAATATCAATCAAAAAATATATTGTACTCTTTTAAGATTTTATTTTGGATAAAGAAACAGCTGCCATCTAAATAAAATATGGTAATGTAAGGGCAGAGGAATTAGCTAATTACATTCGCTAGGCTTTCAAGGATAACAAAATACAATATTCGATGGGAAGAAAGGTGTAGTTGCAGTAGATTATTATAAATCCATTCTTTACAGTATTGAAATGCTGTCTGGCCAACAGGTTAAATATTGGGAACCCTCTGATTCACTAGCTTTTTGCCTGAATAGTTACAGGAGACCTCAAAAGTTATCACTTGTAATTTCCTTTTTTGGGGAAAATTCAAACCAAGGTAATACCATCTGAAATAATTCAAGAATTTATTGTTTTCAAACAAAAATTGTCTGAATTAGTTCATATACAACTCAGTGGGTTTTCAGAGTCAAGACCTGATTCAATGTTTAGTTTCAGCCTACTTAACAGTCTGTGGTGGAAATGATTTTACATGAACATTATTAATAGTGCTTACATTTATTGAGACATAAAATCTCGGCACTGGTGGACCATTAATTTGGTCTGTTTGGAGATCAATGGCTTTAGAAGAATTTGTAAATGGGAGAATTTTCTAGCTATTTGTGCTGGCAGTTCTCCGACTGATATGTGGGTGGGAAGATGGATAGTTACCATGGCTGAACCCAAATAGCCGCCTCTGGGAACAGAACTCCACTCTTTGATTTTCCAATAAGCTTGAAGCACTTGGAAAATAATTAGATAGTGGTGCTCTTGCAGCTGGCAATGATCCTGAAAGGTCAGACTATTAGCAATGGTCAGGAATGCCTCTGCCCAGCCCCATTTTCAATTGTTGCACCATCTGGGCTTTCACTGTGATTTGTGTTTTAATTATCTCTTATTTACATCACTTAACACTGTGACCTTCATAAGTATTCAAAACTGTAGCTGGCATACAATATATTGCAGTTAAATTACTTTCAGGAGGATGTTTTTATAGCATAAAAAGTGGAGCAACAAATTTGCTCCAACAGGTCTAATAACCTACTATTGGAGCAAATTACTGATTTCCAGTTTTTAATAAGTAAAATGTAAGATGCAAGTTTTGGCCTACCAAAAGGAAAAGATACTTGAAGGTCTGCCTCCTCCCAACAAACACCTGCCAGTTATTTTCATTATTCATTGGGGAAAAAAGATGCAACAAAAAGCTGTCATGTCACTCCTTGACATCTCTGGGTAAAGGAAAAATGTTTTAAAGAATAGTGACTACATTTAGAAACATTCCGGTTCATCATATTTTTTTAAAGGCAGGGCAAAAACTTCTCTGTCATGAAGTGCTAAGACAAACCAACAATCTGATTAAAAACGGCAACTTATTTCTATCCCCCATCTAAAAATGTATGGTTATAGGTTATGTGAGAAAAGACGTCTTCAGTAATATGACCCATATTGTGGAAGTCTCTCCTAAGAAAGATAATATTTTATTTTCTATAACCCCTTTCAGAATTATGATAAAGGCACTTGTTAGATTTTCCATGCTATATAATCCTAGCTATTTAATTGTATAATCTAAATTCAATTGTTTAATTTTTGCTTGTTTCTTAGCTCATGGCATATTTTAATTGATCCCTTTATTTTATGCCATCCCCAGCATTTTTATTATGAATTTCCAAAGAAGCCATTCTCTCAAACTCATAAATTGAAGATTGTATTTTCAACTGTATAGAAAACAATTATTTCTCCCAGCTTGGCATTAGACTCTCTCCAAAACTATTTTAAAAGCTGGTCCTAAAAAATCTGGGTCAGTATGTTTTTCAAAATTAACTAGAACAGCATTATATATTTAAAATATAAGCAAAAATAACAGTTCCAATTTATCAAGTGCTACATCTGCTCATTTAACACTAATTAAGCCCCAGAATGATTTTGAGGCTTAGATATAGTTCTAAATAAATTCATAGCACTTTCAAATCATCTGGTCAAAATACATAGATTCTGTGGATTGGACAACTCTCCCAACTATCTATCAACCTACGTATTATTATTATTATTATTATTATTATTATTATTATTATTAGTAGTAGTAGTAGTAGTAGTAGTAGTAGTAGTGGTAGTGGTAGTAATAATAATAATACCCATTATCAGAGATCCTAATGTTTATTTCTACAATGCTCTCTCTGGATAGAATTGTTATCACTAATAATACTGTCAAATGACTTAATCTGAGAACAAAATCCAATTTCAATGGACCGATTTATTCAGTTTATTAAACCTTGAACATATATTTAAAGGAAGGAATTATAGGGAGAACACAATAGGAAAGATATGTAATTCTCCTGCAAAGATTGCTCTAACTCCAGAACATTTCATTCAAATTATTATCAGCCAGACAATTCCATCTCTGGTAGAAAATGCCACTCACTCACTGGAGTTTAGCAAGTTAGTTTTTTCTATGAAGCAGACAGGGATTATGTGATGCTCTCATATACTGTAAATTAGAGTTCCAAAACAACCAAATATGCTGTTTTTTTCATGCACAGCATAAATTCATGATTATTTCCAACGGATGACTAAATTAAAGAAACAAACTTTTCCCATAAGAAATCTACTCACGCCATCGATGCACTTTCTGATGTCAACCATTTCTCCAGCTTTCTGATGACATCACCTTTGGCCGCTTTGGCAGCTCCAGCCAGGCCCAACTGTTCGGCAATTGCCGGGAAGACAGCTTGGGAGCTCTTTAAGGCCATGCAATTTAAGACTGTGATCTGAATCCCAGTGAGTTCTGTCTATAAGGAAGATGTGAAAGTTTGATCACTATTTAAGACTCTATAAGAGAGTCCAAAAGCAACCTGGAAGGCAGCTTTGAACAGTAGCAGCTCCAAGAACAATCAAGAAGATAAACTGCTATAAAACAAAACCAACACTTTCCTTACTAATGTGGTAACAATCCAATGTGCAGAATAGACAAATATTCTCATATATGAATTTTTATTCTACTAAGCTGATTAACCACACAGAACACAAAAACAACATTGTTCTTTTTATTTAAACTACAACATCCTAGATATTTTAGGAAAAGCCTCCTGTTCAAAGCCTTCCTTTGAGAAAGGAAGATGTGACAAGCCATAAAAATGCCTATATTACATTAAACAGGCAACACATATATTTTATTCCTGCTGCTCATGATCAAATCAATAAAATTTATCTGAGAGGCTCAAACAGAAAATGAATGTAAAATATTAAGATGTTCTATATAATTAAATATAATACTATTTTAATAATTCATGTTTTATATGTGTGTAAATATATAAATAATTGTATAGTATTCTATATTATGTAATTAAATGTAATAGAATTTCTAGAATATAATTATTTTAGAATATTAATCAATGGAACAGCTTGCCTCCCAAAGTTGTGGGTGCTCCATTGCTGGATGTTTTGAAGAAAAGATGGACAACCATTTGCCCTGTCTTGGGAGGAGGTTGGACTGGAAGATCTCCAAGATCTCTTCCACCCCTATGATCCCATACAACTACAGTACCAAAGCCAACAAATTGCACATGATTTTTGCTCTTTGCATGGCTGGCAAAGTCCAGGGAACCTTTTTTAAAGTTCCTAGACATTAGATGGGGAGGCAAAGAACAAATGATTGTTTCCCTATTATTAACAAAAAAACAAGATCAAGGCAAGAACTGATGTTAAGATCATTTTCCTTTTATTGTCACAACAGCAAAGAATAAGATGTGCATTCTAAGATCATACCCATGGAGGAAGAGATATTAATTTTCACCATCAATCCTCCCATTTGAATGGAATGCATGTTGCAACTCTATATTAGTCTTCAACTTATAACCACAACTGAGCAAAAATTTCCAATGCTAAGCAAAACAGTTGTTAAATGAATTTTACCCCATTTTACGATTTTTCTTGCTAGCTATATAAATCACTGAAATTAAGTTAATAACATGTTTGTTAAGTGAATATGGTTTTCTCTTCGACTTTGCTTGTCAGAAGATCAAAAAGGTGATCACATGATGTGAGGACACTGCAACTACCATAGATGCCAATTGCCAAATGTCTGAATTTTGATCATGTGATTAAGGGAATGCTGCAAATGGTCATAAAAAGCAGTCGTGTTACTTTTCTCAGTGCCATTGTAACTTCAAACGATCACAAAGAATGGTGTTAAGTCAAGGACTATTTGTAGTGAAACTACACCTGTTAGTCTGAGCTGCTGAGCCTGCTTACCTACCTATCTCTCATACCCATTAAGTATCACATCTAAGTGACACTTGGCAGTTTAGAATAAAAACATAAAGAGGTATAAATGCATGCATACAACAGAGTTAAAGCTGAGTTAAGAACAAAGTTAAAGTAACATATTTATGCAAATTCAAACGTTGCATTCAATCATGTTTCGTGTCAGTTAGGACTCAGAATCCACAGAATACAGGTAGACTTTGATTTATGGCTGGTCTCTTAGCGATCATTCAAAATTATGACAGACCACAAAAAGAGTTATGCATGCTGAAGTGCCCCTGACATTGTTCACTCTTACAACCAACTGCAGGAATGCTGCAGCAAACTCCCCCACCCCGCAATCCCATCATGTTTCCCTAGGACTTGGTTCTCTCCCAAGCCAGCCACTCAGCCAGGTAAGGGAGCCAAAAGCCTGTCAGCAGAAGCAACCAGTGCACTGAGAGTGGTAACAGCCTGTAAGCCAAAGCCTATTTTCAGCTACCAAGGGACTTGGTTTAGTAGCCCTATTTGCCAGAATAGCATATGGCTGCCATAAGGCTCGTGACCTCTGCAAGAAAGATGAGTCTTGCATCGCAAGAGCTGGGCTCCTCTACAAAAAAACAAAAGGTAAGAGCGTTACTGTTGGGCCCTGGAGCTGGGTGAGAAGTAGGCCAAGTTCTGCAAATCCTTTGGTTGGCTAGAGGGGAAATAGGCCTCAGTTTACATATTATAATAAGTAATATGATTCTGAATCCCTCCCCCACTGCTATACACTATAATTTTGTAAAATGAGAAAATAGATCAACATCAAACTACTACCACAATAACATTATATGCAAAAGAGTAGGCAATAATTGTTTGCACACTGTTTCAAAGAAAGGTTTCAGGAACATTTCATACCCATGGTCAAATCCAGCAGTTACCTTCAAATCCAGCAAGGCTCTGTTGAGGCAAGCAGTTTTCCCAGTGCCAGGGGCTCCAGATATATAAAGGCTTCCGGGCTTCTTTCTGCAGACGTGTTCCAGGAGAAATTGTTGCAGAATACCTGTTTCTTTTTCCCTTGCAAGCAATCGGTCTGGAACAGCTGTGTGAAGAAGACTTTTTGCCTGCTGATAACAGGTACCTGCATTAAAACAAACAGTCATCATAAAACAAAAACATGTCTTAACACAATAGATGACAGCACTGATTTCTAGAAAAAGAAATTATAATAGGTAAAGTTTTGCTATTAAATTAGCTGTATATACTTTTAACTGAGTTCTTATTAACAATGAAATAGATTGCTCAATTATATAGATTCTTATCAGATTAAGCAAGCCAAATATTGCATTTTATCAGTTTGATACTGTCAATATATTATCTTGACTTTCTAACACTGTCTGAAGATCAGTGACACAGGATTCTATAAATAAATATGATCAATGAAGAGGAGAAATTGGTGCATGCCCAGCAAATTCATTCTAACTTTTGGTGCAGGGAATTTAGGATTTGTTATATTACATTATGATTTTGGGGAACATTTGCAACACCAAAATAAAATGGCTACCATGATGACATTGGGTGGGTGGGTGGGAATCACACAAGTTATTATTACAACATCAGAACGTATTTTTTAGAAAATGTGTTTGAAAATAACCGAGAAGGTAGGTTTATATATTAAATCTTCTGTACCTTATCAAAACATCCTTTCCATGGAGAGGTAAACCAATTTTTCCAAATAGTATTTTCATTTTTTTTCTATGAGTACATTTTATAAATAGGAAGATTAATAGTAAATTGTTTTCTTCCATACATAACCCCAGTATCAATACTAATGTAAAGCTCTAAAACTCAATCCCTTCAAAATAGCTTCTCCCCTTCAAATAACCTATTTCTTCTCTTTCACACTCACAACTCTGTGCATATATATAACCACTTCTAATTCATCCATCATATGCATAATCCTTTTCCCCTTAGACAGTTGCTCCTCATTCATTTTATATTAGTTTTAATTCGCGGGCTTCCCAGTTTCCTTCAAGCTACCCAAGAAAAAAATCTTTTTATACTCTATTCGCCTGCTGTTTTCAACTTTTCAAAGTAGTCTACCTATTTTAACTTGGAAAAGTATTCTTTTTATTGTTTTCACAGTAGTTTCTTTTTATTTTTGTTTGAGATAGCTGGAAAGTAGAGGATTTTCATCCTCCTTTTTTCTTTTTCTAGAGAATGCTCAGGGCCACACAGGAGTCAGAAAAATATTGGAGGAGGAAAAGCAAGATGATAGACATGTCAAAGAAAATCATTTTTCAGCCAGCCAAGGAAAAGAATATTTAACAATTCAAACAAAATTTAGAAATATCATTTTGGAAGCACCCAATGCTTTGGCAGAAGATTAATGGAATGTCCCTTAAGAACACATTATTGATGACTAAGGATGGTAGACTTTATTTCAAGTCTTCTAGCAATCATATTTTAACTAAAAATCTGAAAGTTCAAATGAATTGATTCAACTATAGTTTGTGGTGCTATTTTTAACAGAAATCTAAATCTTTATGGTATTGTGTTGGTTCCTAAATAAAATCACCTTAGAATTTCATTTACTTGTTACCAAGTCATTCTTAGCCTTCCCATTCTATACAATAAAAGAAATAATATGGCTAATATAAATATTATATTTATTTTTTTGTAAAATTTTTACATTGAATTTGTATTGATGCTTGTTTATTTTTGCTTTTGCCATATCCGGTGATTATCTATTTTTGTTGGTTTTTGCTGGTTTTCAAAATTGTTGTTAGCTACCTCAAGCCACTTTCTTGAGATAGGCAGCTATATAAATGGAATGACTAAATAAAGAAATAAAATAATATACAGCTGCAGGGGTTTTTGTTTTGATACTAAAGTTCCCTGGAAAAGACAGATTGAAACAATAGATCCAACCATTGTTACATACCTTCTGGCTTAAACAGCTGCATTTTTACTCGCTCTTTTTTAAGAGAGTAGTACTTCATAGTAGTGGGTGTTTCTTGACTCCTCTGTATAGGAGATTGAATCAAATTGCTGCACTTGGTGGGAGTCCTGGAGCCTGAATGTTCACTGAAGAGTAAAGTCCGGGCCCTGGGGGAGGTTGCTGGAAGGCTGTTTTCTTTTTTACTCTGCTTAGTTGGGGTACAAAGTAACGAGTGGGCAACATTGCAAAGATTGTCATCACCTAGAGGAAACAAAGAGAAAGCGTAGAAAATAAATATAAAAATGTAGGGGAAATTCAGACAAAGAGACTTCTTTAAAAAGTTGTCCTTTTATTCCAAGTCTCATTTTGAGGCACTCAATGTTATCTTTTAAAAATAGGCTATGGGTGAAGCTCCGAGGAAACCTGTTGTGAACTTTTTAATGATTCACTTTTATTAATTCACTAGTTGGGCATCTCTTGCAATAGTAAAGTTCAAAACACTTGGATTTGTAATTTTTAAAAAGTTGAAACTCAGTACTCTGTAAATAAGTCTATTTATAGAAATGTTATTGGAATTAATTTTAGTATTGTCCAAGATTTATTAATTTATTTTGCATAAATTAGTTTTCTAATTTTTAGTTGGGTAACAAAGCTAGCTAGCAGAGCAAGCCATTCTGTTATAATCATTAGGATATTGGACTAGGACATGGGAAATGCAGGTTCAACTTAATCCTCAATCACAAAAATTCACTGAGTATTTTTGAGCTAGTATCCTCCTCTCCGTCTAGCCTATGTAGCAGGGTTATTATGGTAGAGGAAGATGGAGGTGGGAGCTATGCATACAGTCTTAAGCTCCAAAAGGAAAAATGGAACATAAATCTAACAAATCTTAATAGATGTAAACATTAATGAAAGGACAATATTTTGCACTCTTATTTGGTATGTACTTAAATCTATACATAATACAAGACCTAATACTTCCCACAATAATAACTGTGTCATAGCCTGTGCTTTTACAGAATTAGAATGCCAAAGAATTGAATAGGCAAGTTTAATTCAGCACACAATTTGTCTAATCTCACCATTCAACTTGGCCAAATCATAGTATTTTTTTTAATAGTCAACCATGGGTATTTTGGGTTCGTATATTTTGGAAATTTTCTATTTATAAGCAATTATAGGTAGTCCTCCATTTACAAACACAATTGAGCTCAGAAATTATGCTGCTAAGTGAGAAATTTGTTAAGTTAACTTTGTCCCATTTTATGACTTTTCTTGTCACATTTGTTAAGTGAATCACTGCAACTATTAAGTTAGTAACATCGTTATTAAGTGAATTTGGTTTCCCCATTGAATTTGCTTGTCAGAAGATTGCAAAAGCGGATCACATGACCCTGCGGCACTGCAATCTATACATGATCTATACATGCTGATATTCAACATTATGCTAGGATATTTGGGAGGTATAAGGAAAGGCAACTTACCTAGGCGTTTGCGGGGACTGAGAGGCAAGACCTGCTTTGGAGAAGGTGCCAAAGAGACTGACAATGTTGCTGAATCTAGATGGGAACCCTTCTTTTTCTCTAATGATTTCTGAAGTGTCCTGACTGATTTTCGCTTTGGAAAGTTTATAGTCTTCTGGATCTGGGACTGAGACCTCGTACTGGGCATAATGGATGTACTAGAACGAAACAGAGGAAAAAAAGTATTCAAACTAAGCAAAATTTTCTCTAGAACACTACAAATAGTTCAATTGGCATCATTTTTTGTATGAAGATGAAAACCTTTTTATTTTCCCACGTTATGCCTATTTTTTATTCAAACTGTATTATTTTAGTATTTTACAGTAAATCCAGACAGCCTTGGCTGTTGAGTTTTAAAATTCGTGCTCTCGGGATTACAACCCTTCTTCCTTTCTATAGCCAACATGGCCTTTGCCTCGGATGTTGCAACAACGTGCCCTGAGGACATTAAGCTAAGTAAGTCTGGCTTAATTTTTCATGGAAGGGGTTGTATGAGGGCAACCAGCCTATGCTTCCTATTATTTTTTATATATACATATACACATACATACATACACACACACACATATATATGTAAGATCGCCCTCCCCGAATCACTGCCACTTAGAACGGAAGCGCAGACCTGCCATGCGTTTATCGGCTTCAATGGCGGGTGTTCCTTAGCGCGGCCTTTTCCAACTTATGCCCTCCCCTTTCTACCCCAACTTCCATCTTTTCTAACTTAATTAACGTCTCCCGCCCCCCACCCCCGCCCCATACATCGGACGGGGAGAGGCGGCCAGCATGTCCAGGTTTCAAATCCTGCGACGGAAAGCTGATTCTTTCCCGCACACAGAAATTTCCCCTCGTCAATCCCCATACCGCCCTTTTCCGACTGAGCCCGAGACTCAGCACCCTCCATAACCGAATCCTTTGGAAGCTTGTCGAGTTAGGACAGCGGGACTCGCTCATCGCTCACTCACCTCTTTTCTCCCCGGGACTGACTGGTAGAATTTCTCCGCGCGCGCGCTCTAGGCGTTCGGTCCTGCCGATTGGTAAGTCCGAACGGCGTCGCTCCCTACCAACCAATCGCCACTTTTCGCGCCGAACGCAATTTCCATTGGCCCTGCCCCTTCTACGCCGCTCTCCCCTTCTTGCCACTCAACTTGTCTCCCCTCCCTTCTTTCAGATTAAAGTAGACAGTACAGCCTTCCAGGAAGGATTCCCAGTTAAAGACAGCAGAAGTAAGCATCCTTTTACTGAATGCAAAACTGCCACTTAGGAAACAGAACTACAATTCCCATCTAACCTTGCTGCAAAATAAAAGGGAAGCAGCTCTGATAAGCAGTCTAAAAAGAGCGCGCTCAGCGGTTTTTTTTTTTTTCTAGCGGGAAGGAAAACGCTCGTACAAGCCATGGGAGCTAAATTTTTGCGGGTTGTGAATCCTGTAAATTGCAGTGCAAACGTCTCGAAGGCTGCGAAAATTGAATGTTTTCACTTAGAAGTAAAAAATGGAAGTTGTAGCAGAGCAGAGATATTGCTCCCTAGATGTTTAGAACTACGATTTCCGTATAATATGCGAGCAAACTGGCTAATTTATGGCAGCCATAGTCAAAGCATCTGAACTAAATTGGTGACATATATATATATATATATTCAGCACCATTATAAGTTAGAATGGTCACTGAACCAAGCAGTAGTTAATTGAGGGCTATCCATACAATAAAGGAAGTTATCACTTCCTTTCCTACAATAATTTTTTTCTTCAAAGAGAAGAGTCCTATGGCCTACCTGCATTTGACAATACAATAAGAAAAATAAATGAAAATAAAATATAACAAATTGTACTGTAGAATAGGTTACATTAGAAATTGCTCGATGCAAAGAATTCTTAGTTTGCTCTTCGTTTCCTCAAAAGTTTCCAAAGACAAGGTTGTGGAATTTCTTGTGAACTGATTTGTGAAATCTCAAATAGCACTGAGCCAATATAATGAAATATAAATAAAAAATATTTGACATATTCAATGTGGTATGTGCTTAAAAAGAACAAATTTCAGAAACAGTATTTGCATTTGATTAATTTATTAGATCATGGACACAGACTCACTTCTGCATCAGTCAATGCAGCTACAATTTTAATAAAAGACAGCACCACTTCCTGTGGTTCAGATACAGTGTCTTGTGAAGTAGTGAAATATTAAAAGAGGAGGCGTTATCAAACATAGCCACTAGGGAATAAAAGTAATATACTTTTCTCCTCCCCTGAAACCAGCCTTTCAACATATGCTATCTTCACAGGCTATTCTCATCTCAACTGTAGGGAATATGATTGATCTGCATGTTAAAACTAAGATGCTAATTAACGGTACAAATTGATGAGGAAGGGGGAATGATCTTCCCATTCAGAGCTATATTGTACTGGAAGCATTATGCATTCTCCTGAATGAGCAATGACTTCTACCTTTGTGAGGAAATTGTATAGCCATCCCTCCTGTTGATTGATATAGTAATTATTGTCCCCTGCAAATGAAAAAGAAAACTGAGAAGCAATAGTTCTTGAAAGATCCCGCAAGGAAAGAGCAATTTTTAACAAGGATTATTTATATTTTAAAAAAATGTAGGAAAATTATCTCAATTTTGGGCAATTTGAAGACATGTGGATTCCAATTCCCAGCCAGCTGGCCAGCATTCTAAGAGTTGAAGTCCACATATCTTTGCCAAGGTTGAGAAACACTGATCTACAGTATGCTTATCATCATATGTCACAGTATTTGAAATTTAGGTGAACATGAAGTATTTGACTGTTCAAAGTGAAAATTATCAAAATGACTTAAAAATGAAACTCCTCCTAATGCCACATCAAGAGAATTCTCAGTTATTTAATCGGGGCAATAAAATTATTAAAGAATATTACATGCAAGTCCCAATAAGAATTAAAAAAAACCAAGTCCACATGTGCCCTTACAATGGACTCAATAATTATTTCACTGCCAACGACCTAAAGAAATTTACTTGAAATGCTTGCAAAGAAAAAAACTCAAAAAGGTCATTTTCTGTGAAAAGCAAAGATCAGATCTAAACCAAAAGCAGCAGTGCAATAGACTCAAATTCTGGTTCTTGGAACTACAGGAATTACTCAGTAGTGTTTCTGCAGTAAATAGAAATGGAACTGCTGAGCAAAGATAGTGAGAGAAGACAGAGTGGGCATGAAGCTGACAATATCCAATTTTGTGTGCGCACACACAGACACAAAACTCCATTGGGAGCCATTTAAGGATAAGGCACCATGAATGAAGTTTGAAGCATTTGCTGTTAAACATAAAAATTACACCCCTTATAAAAGCCTTTTCCTTGGCATATTTGCACAGTTGCAGAGAAGGATTTATATATTTCAACATGGAGAAGGGCTGCGTAAAATCTAATTATGGGGAGTGTTAAAAAGCTACAAAAGCCTTCTCCTAAACCATCAAAAATAGGAGAAAACCCCAATTCTTAAAACTTATATTCACAGCATCTGAAACTTAAGTTACCAGTTACAGGATAGCATGACACATAGTTCTTTGCAATGGTTCCTGTTTTTGTACTGGTAGATGTGATTAGCCTTCACTGGTAGATGTGATTAGCCTTTACAGCCTTCACTATGTATCTCTTGTACATATAAAGATTTTTGAATCTTCATTGTGTGGGCGTATTTGTTGATATACAATATAAAACTGTAGAATTGCCGCAAGAAATCAGATAGATAAAACTTTTAAAAATTCTTGGGTCAGCTAAAGAAACTAGATATTACTGAATTGATATTTTGATCATTTCAGACTTTGAGAAAAGGTCTGATACACTGTGAAGAATAAAAGAATATACTTTGTCCTGTACCATCCTTAAAAATAGAGGTAGGAAAAGAGTGTAAAATATATACTAATATTCTACTTTAAGTTGCACTAAAACAATAGCAGGTAATAAAGAAGACTGGGATGAAGACTCAGCGACAGGCTACAAATTTAGTTTTCCAGGTACTAATAGAAGATTTTCTGAGCAAATAAGACTGCGTAAGTTCAAAGTTGATCTAAGGCAGTCTTCCCTAAGATGGATCTCACAGATGACAGACTACAATTGCCATCAATTTTAACTAACATTTAACTAACATTAACATTGGCTAATATTATTGGATGTTGCAGGCATCACAGATTTGGGGGGGGGCACTAGACTGGTGAAATTGATTTATAAGATAATTAAGATTTTACCTTGATAATGCTAACTGCAAATATATGGTTTCTCTGGATGTTTTCAGAATGCGTATGAAAATGTGTTTAAATTCACCTTGTAAAAAACTCTTGTTTTAGCAAGGAAACGCAAATATATCTTGCCCATTCACATAATTAAACCACCAAATAGCTTGGCTCAGGAAGAGTTATGGGCAAGAGGTAACAAGAACATGCAAATTCTTGGGACAAGAACATGCAAATATGACCCTATGCTTCTTGTATTCAGTTTCCATTTGACTGCCATTTCAAGCTTCACAGTGCTTCCCAAAGATATATTTACTGGAAGCTGACATTATACAGAACATAATAATAATTAAAAAAAATACCCTTTCCCAAAATGCACAGTGCATTTAACTTTTCTTCCCAGCGAGTTATGCTGGATAAGATTTAATTTTCTTCCAGAAGAAAAAAAAATTCCTCTGACCAAGCATTAGTCCCTCAACATGAGAGGCTGCCCAGTCATTAACTTAAAAGCAGACAAATTTCCATCATCATAAAAAAAAAAGTAGGTGGTAAAGGAATTTTTGTAGTATATGGCTAGCAAGCCTACAAACTTTTTACAACATAAAAAGTAGATCAATATTTATCATTATAACACAAATTTTCCAACGCCACATTTTTAAGAGTAAATACACACAATAGTTATAATAAATCTTGTACCAATCACATAACAGAACTACTGTATAAGGCAAAACACCAACAAGCAATATAGGCTTGATGTTACAACCACCTGCAGAGCATGAGATAAAATGAGAGGAAAAGTTTGCTTCTGCTTCAGAGTCTGCTTAGTGGTGTCTAGTCCAGAATTGGGCATTTCTACTGTTGGAATCTGCTTTCCAACAGTTTTATATGGAGAGAGGGAAAAGGAGAGATGGATCCCCATAGGGGACTCTTCAGCAGTATAAACTACTGTGTTGAGAAGCAG